CTCCTGTCGGCGCTCGCCGAGGTCGCCAGCCACCGTGGCTCCGCAATCTCCCGCTTCGGGGCGGCCAGGGCCCATGCCCTGGAGGCGGTGCGCGAGCCCGCGCCCAGCGGCGGCGGCGGGCTTGGCAGCTACAGCTGGAAGGACCGTCGCGGACGTGGCCGAGGTTGCAGCACCAGCCGAAACGGAGGCGGACGCGTAGTCGGAGGAGCGCGCGGGCGAGCCCGAAGAGGCGACGGAGCGGGCTTTGCGGTGCGCCGGTGTCAACCGTCTCGTCGCCGGCGTCAACCGTCTCGTCGAGGAACTTCGGACGTTCGCGGAGCCCGAGGCGATCTTCGCGGTCCTGCGGACGGCCGCGCAGCGCCCACAGATGGGGTGGACATTTTGCTGGAGCGCGGAGAGGGCACCACTGCAGTGCCGCTGGACGGGCCCGCTGCTGTGGCCGAGGGCGCGGCCCCAGGGCCCCATGTAGGGGACGACTGTCCAACCGCCGGCCGCTGCGGCGAGCCGGGCAGGCGACGCGGAGCGCGAGCGGTTGCTCGGCGACACGGGGGCGTCGCGGATCCCGAGGCGGTCCGCGGTGAACGCTGGCCCAGGGATCGATTGGGGCGCAGTGGCAGGACCCGTTCCGCCGACGCTCGCGGGGACCTGCGGCGGAGAACGTGCCTCCCTCGGGCGAGACATGCCTGCAGCAGTGACGTATCTCGTGTGGCTGGCGGGCGTGCTGGCGCGCAGCTGGGGCAAGTCTTGGTTGCAATTCTGCGGAGTGTCGGCCGCCTCCTCGCCCTCGCGTTCGGCCTCGTCGCCGCGCGCGCGGTGGAGCTCGTCGGGCGCGCCCCGCGGTGGGCTCGCGGCCTGGCCTCCGCCATCCCCCGCTCTGCGGAGGCCGCATGCCACGTCGGGAGGGCTTCGCGGAGGGCCCGCTGCAGCCAGGGTGCGCCTCTCTGGACGGTCGGCATTCCGAGGAGCTCCCAATGGGGAGCGGGCCCGGCCCATACCGTGGATGGGGGCCCCATCGGGGGCATGCCTGGTGGAGGGGCTGCCGGGGCCTTTTGGGCGGGGGGGGGGAACCCTCCATGTCCCCCCCTGTCGGAGGGACCCAGCGCCGCGCAGAGGCGCACCGCTTCGCCAGCGGTGTTCGCGGGCGGCTGAGTGCGGCGGGCGCAAGAGACCGCGCTCGACCGCGTCTCGGTGTTCTCGACCCCTCGGTGTTCTCCAGCTCCTCCTCCTCCTCTCTCCTCCTCCTCCCTCCCTCCTCTCTCCTCCTCCTCCCTCCTCCTCCTCTCCCTCCTCCTCTCCTCCTCCTCCTCCTCCTCCTCCTCCTCCCTCCTCCTCCTCTCCTCCTCCTCCTCCTCCTCCTCCTCCTCCTCCCCCCCTCCCCCTTCTCTCGCCGAGCACTGCCTCGGCCACGCGCTGAAGGACGCAGGGGGGAGGGGGGGGGCGCTGCTTCGAGCGCGCCCCTGCTTTTTTCGGAAGGCGCGGGTTTTGCCTACAGATGCAGAGCTTCAGGAGGGAAAAAAACACACAGACACAATTAATCCTCGATTCCCAAGAAAATATGGGAAAATATGGGAATTGGGGGGGAAGACAGAAACCCAGAAAATATGAGAAAATATGGGGACTATTTTTATTTGTGTGTATTTATTTGTGTGTCCTAATTTCCCTTTAGAGCTGGCGCCTTCTCAGCACAGCCTCTTTCTGAGAAGGCTTCCCCCCTTTCCCCATTCCCCCTGGTGCGCCAACCCGTGCCACGTTGGGGTCGGACGAGACCCTGAGGCCCTGGCGTCCCAGTTTTTCCGAGCCGGGCGTGTCCGCCCAGCTTCGGGCTTGGGCGTTGCGTAATAGGGGGGTCATAAATGGGGGGGTGGCGAGGGTGGTCTGGAAAGGTGCCCAAACGGTGCCTAAACGAGCCCCCTGGGGCTCTGGAGGGGCCCGAAAGGGACACGAAAGGGGACCTTTTCTGACCCCCCCATTTGTGACCCCCCCATTAAGCCACGCCCAACGGGCCCGGGCACCGGTCGATTTGGCCCAGGACACGGCGCGGAAAAGTTTGGGCCCAGGCCGGCGGTCGCGATCTCCTGGGATTCTGCATGTTGTCGCTGCGCTGGATCTCAGGGGGCGCGCTGGGGTCGGACGAGAGGTCGTGTCCAGAGGCAGATCGGCAGCGCGCTTCGGGGGGCGAGCCTTCTCAGACGGCTCTGAAGGCATCCGGCCTGCTGAGGAGTTATTTCGGGCAAAGGGAATTATGCACATGCACCGATCCTGGCAAGGCCCATCCTTGACCCAGGATCGGTGCATATGCCTTCCTGGCCAAGGTAGGAGGGCGTATGCACCGATCCTGGGCTCAGGATGGGCCTGGCCAGAATCGGTGCATGTGCATAGTCCTTTCTCCTCTATTATTAGAGCCTTCTGCGGAACCACAGGGTGCCTCCCAGAAGGCCGGAAGGCTTCTGACAAGGGGGCGTCTCAGAAGAGTGGGGGGGTTTCTGAGAAGCCCCGCCGCCTTTTGTCTGAGAAGGCCTGCCTCCCCTCATGTCCACCTTTGGCGCGCCTCCGCAGTGTAGGGCTTCAGGTACGGCGTCCAGATCCGTCCTGTTCCTCCACGTCTTGGCGTGAACGTCTTGGTTTTTTTTCAGCCAGTGGAAGAGTGACAGCAAACGATGCCATGTTTGACACCTTCTTCAACGCGACGGGGTAGAACGTAATAGCAGCGAGTCGTCGGCCGACGATGCCTGTCGGTAGGAAGTCGCGAATCCTGAATCCTGAATCCTGTTCCTCCACGTATTTTTGCGCCTCATTCAGGATGGAAGTCTTCCAGCTCTGAGTGCCCCCCTCCTCCTCCTCCGCCTCCGCAGCCGCTCGGTCTGTCTCAGTCTCTCCTTTTGCATGGTGGGCAAGTCGCTCTTCGGTCGCTCGAATTGCTTGAACGCTGGTGCGGTTTACCTCTGCTTCGCCGCCGACGGGAAACAATTACGCGGCTCTAGTCTCCCCACAATCCGCCCTTCGCGCTTCGCGAGCAGATGGAGCAGGGCGGAGCTGCGCAGTCGACTTTTTCTTCCAGTGGTCGGGTCGGGCGACGGGGAGGGAGCCGGGAGGCGCGAGAAAGAAGAGCTGCACGCAGCGGATTCGCAGTCCCTTATTTCAAGCAGAGGCGAGGCGTCTTGGCTTGCCCATAGGCCCACCAAATAATTGTCTAAGAACATGTTGCGGTTTGCGCGAAATGTTATTCGAATCGATCTGGTTGGGACTGTCTTGTTTTAGCGCATCGGGCGTTTGTTCTAAGAACATGGCTTTTGTGTTTCGAACGTTTTTAGGGTCTTGGAACGTTTGTGTTAGGCCAAAAGGAATGCTGGGACGGTCGGTGCCTGCTCAACTATTTGCTATCCCCGCTTTTTGTGTGCCCCGCCACGTCCACCTGTTGCTGCCGGTCAATTAGCACCTGCCGTTACCTTGGCCGCTCAGCGCACTTGCGGAATGCCTCTGCCGCATTGCGACGGAACAAGTGGCCCACTACGTGTGTATGTTTGCCCAAGGGTGAGCAGCGTTGTCAGCATCAGCAGGGATGTCCACGGTTCGGTCGGTTCGGTTATTTCTCAGTCGGTTGCGCTCGGTCGATTCGGTTCGGTCGTGTACTGTTCTGCTGGGTCATTATGTGTTACTTTCGGTCCGTCGGCCTCGGTGTATTACGATTTCGCCATCATTACGTTGATTATTGGTTTTGGACGTCTATGGGTGAACAGCGTTTCTAGCATCAAGCAGCCTCTGGGCAGAGTTAATCAGTAGGAAAAGTGCACGATGTCGAGGAGCATTGGCGGGAGGAGTATGAGGATAACATGATTTCTGCCACAGGAGATCAGGTCTGGACACGCGTCTGCTTCGTAAAACAGTCCACGGAGGAGGGGGCATCCAGTAGTTGACACCTATTCAGAGAAGTGGGTCATCAGGCGTGTGTTGTTTGTGACGTGTGGGACATCGCAGGGAGTTGTTTGGGATGTCCCAGGACTCTCTATCTGTTGTCGTTGAGCTCGGGCATGGAATGAGCTTCGCCATCGCCGTCAAATTCGAGTGTGATAGTTCGTAAGTGCCGGAGGGGGTCTGCATCTCTGTCGCAAACAGGGCGGCCCTTGCAGTCAGGGCGAGGCAGTTTGAAGGCAAATGTCTAATCCATTCTGGCAAAACGGAAGTCTGGAGTCAGGAGCTGCTTTGGCGGCGCTTCCCCCATCGCAATGCGTCGACCCCTTCGGCTGTCAGATCATTGTTCCGCTGCTCCAGCGAGGTCTTCGGCTGGTAGCCTGACATGAAGTGCGCAACCGCCCCGACGCCCCCCCCAGTGCTCATAACTGGTATTGCTTGTATGTTGCTACCTTCGCTATGCGTGCAAGAGGGCTGCGGGCGGGCAATCCAGCTTTCAGCGAGCACACGCACACGCAAACACACACACACAGCACGAACGGAACACACGAGAGCCGTGGCGCGCTCGACGCGCCAGGCTGTTTGGAGCCGGGCGCCGCGAGGGCGTTCTTCGGGTCGCCCTGGAGCCCCCGCCCCCCAAGACATGGGGGAGATTTTGTATGTTTCGGGGTTGCGGAAGTGTGGGAGGGGGGGGGGGCGATGAAGAGGGATGGGAAGAATGGTGCACCCTTCGTGCACCCTCGGAGCCCCACGCGCTGTCCCTTTGGGGGCCCAAGAGGTGTTCGAAAGGTGCACGTTTCTTCGCCCGCCCCGTTCATCGCCCGCCCCATCGATCAGGATTCGGCCCTTTGGAAGTTAAATTCAGAATCGGCCCTGGTATATCCGCGGTCGAAACCTGGCCGAGTCTCCGGCATAACACAATTCAATGTTGCTAAATCTGTCATCTGGCTCATTCCTGGGCCTAATTCGGTTCAGTTGCCCGTTACTCGAGCTTGAATTCCCGTATTGATTCTCACAGAGGGTTTCGAGGAGTTGCTTGGTAACATTGAGCAGCGTCCATACGTTTGTCTGCCGCGACCGTGACTTGCGAGGCGAAGCCTGACGTCGAGGGCAGGGAGGACGACGAGGAGCAGGAGGAGGACGAGGCGCCACCGCTGCCGATCTCCCGCCGTTCTGCTCTTGCAGGGCATCCCGCTCTTCGCCCTCCTCACTACAGCTGGCCACGCATGCTCCGCTTCGTCTCCTCTAGGGGGACGAAGAATGACATAACCATAACAACTCGGAGGTCCGCGCGGATTTCTCGGATCCGCGCTGGACCCCCATCCCTTGCGCCGCCAGGGACGTCCAGCGCGGATCCGAGAAATCCGCGCGGACCTCAGAGTTTTTTTCTGTTTCTGTCATTCCTCGTTCCCCTTATCCCTCCTCCTGATTGCTCATGGCACGATGGTCTGTCCGACGCTGCCTCCTCCATCTTCCCTCCTCCCCCCTCTCCTCCTCCTCCCTCCCTCCTCCTCCTCCTCCTCCTCCCCCTCCCCCTCCTCCTCCTCCTCTCCCCTCCCTCCCCCTCCTCCCTCCTCCCCCCTGCCCCCCCCCCCTCCACAGTGCCTGCCTCCGCCCCTGCCCCCTCTCCGCCGGCCTCTCTCCCGCCGGCCTCATTTGGCCCCCCGCGGCCGGCCGGAGTCCCCGCCGTATCCCAGGAGCTCGGGCTGAAGGAAAGGGGGGGGCAACAAAGGGGGGGTGAAGAAACATGCCCTTTTTGCACCCTAAAGGGACCCTTTGTTGCATTGCACGTTTTTGTAAATCCTCGGCTCTTTCATCTGGCCCGACGTTCGTTGCGCGGCGAACGCCGTCGTGAGTTGTGCGTAGTGAGTTGTGCGTGAGTTGTGCGTTCATTGTGTCTGTGTGTTTCTTCCGCTCCGAGCGGAAGAAACACACAGACACAATGAATCTTAGGTCGGGCCTGTCCCCCTACAGGGGGATTTTCGAGGAAGAACCAAAGATACCCCAAAACTAGTCCCAAAATAGTCTGGGGGCTATGTTTTGACAATCGTTTGACCATTTTTGGGGCATTTTGGGGGGTGTTTTTGAGTTTTCGTCGAAAATCCCCCTGTAGGGGGACACGCCCGGCATCAAATGCATCGTCGATCCCGAGGAAAATATGGGAAAATATGGGAAGTGGGGGGGAAGACAAGAGCCCAGAAAATGGGGGAAGATATGGGGAATTCTGCCATTCCTGTGCATGTATTTGTGTGTCCCAGGGCCCCTGTAGTATCCCCCTTCCCATCTCTCCGCCCGCCCTTCTCGCCGCGCCCGTGCGGGGCGGGGAGAAAGGATCCCTGCGCAGTGCGAGAGGCCGGAGAAGGAGGAGGAGGAGGAGGAGGAGAGGAGGGGGAGGAGGCCCGCGGGAGCAGAGGCGGAGGAGGAGGAGGAGGAGGAGGCAGAGCAGGAGGAAAATTGGTGAGGAGTGGGAGGGGGAGGAGGAGTAGAAAACAGATGACCTGGCGGCGTAGCGGTGTGCCGCCTGTGCAAAGCCGCACTGCTAATGCAACATATGAGTTGGCACACCAGCATTGGCAGCCATTGGTCCCTACGTCCCAATGACCTCCCATTCCACCGCTATACTCAGGACTGGCGCGACGGGAACCTATTCATATCCGGAGACACACAGAGCAGCGAATTGCGACACCAACTCGTCATACCACTTACTTGGACAAAGCTATCCGACGACATCGACAACAACATGGCACGGCTGAAACAACCCCGCTTGAATCACGTCAGCACCGAAAAGCGCATGAAGGATACCTCCTACAGGATCTACAACTAACGGACCACCAAACGCTACGACTTGCCCGTCGGCGATGTTATTGGCATATACACAAGATGCCGAAGTACAGAAAACAACAAGTTTGCGTTCCACTTGCTCGGTTACCAACGGCGGCCACAATAAATCTGCCATATACGTAATTTCTCCAGCGAGCCCAGACAAACTCACAGGCCAAGCTGACGTGCTGCGATCAGGAGGCATCTTGCTGCTGCGGCGCAGACGGTGCCAGTTTGTTGCTTTATAGTCAGGTGTTGGTACTAGGAATGCCGCGTTGAGTCTCGTCCCTGTCGCTGCTAACCCTCAAAATGGGATGCACTGTTTTGTTTCCCCAGGCCCCCTGCCTCCATTGTAGCTACTGGACCTGATGCAGTTCGGGAGCGTTGAGCCGACATCCCCAAGTTACCTTTAGGTGTCGATGAAGGAGGCTGTCGTCAGCGTCGCCGTTGGCACATCCGGCGGCCTAATCCCGCTAAGCCAGGCTTGATATCATCTAGTCAGGCCTATTGGGCTTATTATGGTCGATTATATTTTATGGAAAGAATTGGTCTAACCAGGGTTGGCCGGAGGGGGTTGGACGGAAGGGTTGGCCTGATCTCCGGAGGTTGGCCAGGAAGGTTGGTCGGGTCCGTCGTCGCACGAGTTGGCATTGCGTTGTTCAGAAGGGTTGGCTGGGATTGTCCCGGGGTTTGGCGATGCCAATTCTTAAATGACGAGTTCTTTTTATCATATATAGTAGTCTCCCTCTGTTGGGCCGTTCGGCTGAATACCCCCACGGCTCCCACGACGGCCTCCCGGGAGTTGCCCCCCCGGACCTCCGGAGGGAAGCGGGGATTCGGGCCGGACGAAAGGTGGTGATTGGGAAAGGGGGGGTTGCGAAATTTGCTGCATGCAGCTGGTTTCGGCCCCACCGAGGGGCCCATTCCTCGATACGTAGCCGCCTCCGGCGCCGGGAGGCGCCGGGAAAATCAGCTACGTGAGCTGATTCTCAAACCCCCCTTTTGTTATCCCCCCCTTTCGCCCGACCCGGGAGTTGCCCTCCGGAGGGAAGCGGGGATGGGGAGGCCTCCGTCTCCCCTCGCCCCCACCCCCTTGCCTCCCGCCCTCGCTCTCTTGCCCGCTCTGCCCCCGCCGGCGCCCCTCCCCCCCAGGGAGGGAGGAGAGGAGGACGAGGAGGAGGAGGAGGAGGAGGAGGAGGAGGAGGACGAGGAGGAGGAGGAGGAGGAGGAGGAGGAGGACCATTTGGCCATTTGACCAAGCGCAGGGAGGGAGGAGGAGGAGGAGGAGGAGGAGGAGGAGGAGGACCATTTGGACCATTTGACCAAGCGCAGTCGTGGGGGGGGGGAAGAGAGGGGAGGAGGAGGAGGAGGAGGAGGGGGAGGAGGAGAGGAGGAGGAGGAGGAGGAAGAGGACCATTTGGACCATTTGACCAAGCACAGTCGTGCGGGGGGGGGGGGGAAGAGAGGGATGGGAAGGCAGAACCCCGAACGGAGGTGCTTTGGTGCAGGCGGAACCCCGCCTCCCCCCTGCGACCCCTCGACAGGCAAGCCTCGACAAGAAGAAGGGCAAGAAAAGCAAGGCCCGGGCCCGCGGCCCCTCCCCGGGGACCTCGCGAGCCGATTGCCGCCTCCTCCTGCTCCTCGCCCTACTACTCCACCTCCTCCAGTTCTTAGCCTCCTCCGCGGTTTCCCTCCCAGTTGTTCCTCCTCCACTCCTCCTCCACTCCTCCTCGTTCTCCTCCTCCTCCTCCTAGTTGTTCCTCCCTTGCCTCTTCACTTCTCATCCTCTTTCTCCTGCTCGCTGCTCCTCCTCCCCCTCCTCCAGTTCGGCTCTACCTGTTCAAGATCAGTGCGTGTGGTGGGCCTTACCTTCCCTAAAGGGGTCGTCGTTCATCGTACTCGCCCATTCGGCCACGCTCCACCTCCTCCTCCGCCGCGCTGGGTGTGGTGGACCCTTGTGGGCTCGCCGCCCGCCTCAGTCCGAGGTGCTCGTCTGGCGCTTCGCGCGACGTTCCCTCTCAGCGTCGAATCCTCCTCCTCTCCCTTTCTCCGATGCGCCGTCAGAGCGCCGCTCTCTGCTTGCTTGCTTGCTTGCTTGCTTGCTTGCTTGCTTGCTTGCTTGCTTGCTTGCTTGAGCCTTGCCGTTCCCATTCCCCCCTTCTTTCCCTCCGTTCGTTGTTTGCCTGCCCCCTGCCTCTCTCTACTCGCACGCTGTCTTTTGCGTCCCCCACCGCCGCCAGTCCACACTGCAGAGGGTGAGCGGGCTCCCCTGGGGCCCGGAGGCTTCGAGGGCGAAGGCTCCTCGGGGGGAGGCTTCCGCGGGGGGATGTCGGAGGGGCATCTCTGTTCGTCCAGGAGGTTACGGGGTGGCCCAGGAGAGGAAAGGTGCCCGTACAGCCACCCTTCCTCTGTGTTCGCCGTGTTGGGTCTCCTGGGAGGCCGTCGTCGCCACCGCGGATTTGTCTCGAACGCCTGGTCAGAGTAACTCTGGGCTCCCCAGCGGCGAGATGGGGTAGAAGCGAACGCGGACGACGATTACATCAGTTTTTGCCCATTATGAGTCGGTTTCGTTGTCGGTCTAGCGTCGTGCTTTCTCGGTGCGTCAGCGATCGCCGTCCGCGCAAGGCAGCAGTCGACGGCAATTCTGGACTGCTTTTCGCGTTTTGGAAGATGAAGAGAGGATGCATGATGAAGAGAGGAGGCAGCATGGACGGAGGAGGCAGGAAGGAGGAGGAAGGAGAAGGCAGCAAAGGAGGAGGCAGTTGGAAGAGGAGGAGGAGCAGGAGCAGGAGGAGGAGGAGGGGGGAGAGGAGGAGGAGGGGGGAGCAGGATGGAGGAGGAGGGAGGAGGAGCAGGAGGCAGGTCGGGGAGGACGAGGAGGAGGAGGAGGAGGTCCAGCGACGAGTGGCGAGGACGACGACGACCCACCGCGAGGCGAAGGGCAGCGCCGCGGCGCCCGGGGAGGAGGCGGCGGCCGCCGAGGGGGAGAAGGGCGAAGGACGCGCGGCGCCACTCGGCCGCAGCTGCCGCCACCGCGCGCCTCTTCCGCCTCCGCCTCCGCCCCCCCCCTCCTCCTCCTGCTCCTCCTCCTCCTCATCCTCCTCGATCCTCCTCCTCCTCCTCCTCCTCCTCCTCCTCCTCCTCCTCCTCCTCCTCCTCTGCTCTGGCCCTGCGGGGAGGGCGGCCGCGTGCGCCGCGGGGAGGGCGGCCGCGGGCGGCCGCGGGTGCCTCCGCCTCCGCCCCCCCCTCCTCCTGCTCCTCCTCCTTCTCCTCCTCCTCTTCCTCCTCCTCCTCCTCCGCCTCCTCCTCCTCGTCCATAGCTCCATAGCCATTCTGGCTCAAGCCTGCCTTGGGCGCTGGGCGGGCGGCAGCTTTGGGTCCGTGGCATCTCTCTTCGTGGGGTAGCGCCTCCCCCTTCAACCGCGGCCATGGCCCCGAGCGCGGCTACGGTCCCGCCCCTTCGTGGGGACCTGGTGGCGGCGCTTGCGCCTGTAACTCGGGCGGAGGCGGCCGGTGTTTGCTGAGGGCGGAGGCGGTCGGCAGTGCGTGGCGGCACGCGGAGACGGCCTCCGAGGTCAACGGCACGGTCGCAAGGCTCGAAGCCGAGCTTGATTCCGTGAGGGCGGCGCTCACTTCGGCGACCATGGGCAGCGAGCGCCTGGCGCAGCAGGCCGTGGAGTTGGAGCCCAAGCGATCGGAGGCGGAACGTGAGAAGACGAGCCTCCGAGCGGCGCTCGCCGACGCCGAGAGGAAGCTAGACGAGGTGAAGAGCGACGCCGCCACGGCCTGCCAGCAGGCCCCCGACCTGGCGCAGGAGGCGGCGCGAGGGGGCGCCTCGTCTGGGCGGGCGTCGAGGCCGACGTGGTCGCAGAGGCGCCGAGGTGAGGGCCCTCGCTCTGTCCTGTTGGGTCCGCCTCGGGATTTTGCGTGGTCTGCGGCTCGCGCTGGTGCGCGTGACCGCGCCCCCTCCCGGGGGGCGGCCTCTGGGGGCCGTCTGGTCGCCCATCAGTCCCCGCGGGGGCGGTTTCCGCTCCCCTGGCTCACCCGCGAGGCAGGCCAGGGTCGTGACGGATGCCTGTCTGGGCTTCTTCGGGGTCCTTCCCTCGTCGCCACGGCGCCCGCGGTCACGCGCGCGCGGCGGCGAGGGACTATCTTCTTGACATCTGGGGCCCTGGTTGCTGTCAGCCTGCTGACGGCCGCCAGGGCCTTTTTGATGACGTCCCATCCACCCATCCTCCTCCTCGTGCCGCGCGTGCCGCCGCCGCGTGCCTCCTCCTCCTCCGCCCCCTCCTCTGCGAGGGGGGGCGCAGGCTTTTGCATCCTCCGTTTCGTCCTTGGCGACGGCGGGGGCCGAAGGCGCCCGCGAGCGGAGGTCCGGAGGGGAAGTGCTGGTGGAGCCGACAGAGTATGATGTGTGCCACCATGATTTGTATTCGTTTTGTTATATTTCTTATCATTGTGTTTTTTTCTCCTCCTCCTCCTCCTCCGCCTCCAGCCGTTCTGGCCCAAGTTGTTTGGGCTTGCTAGCGTCTGCTTCAGAACGGCACATTGCGCTAGCGGGTCATTCTGGCTCGCTCTGTCGTTTTGCACTCGCACGCGTCTCTCATGGGACCGAAGCGTGATGGCGGGGCGAAGTGTCTCGCTTGTGGCGCTGCGAAGTGCAACAAGCCGTGGTACAAGTGGTGTGCGAATTGCTGGGCGCCTATACCGCAGGTGTCTTACGGTTCTCAGCCTTCTCCAGCTGGGGTGTGGAAGGATGGATCTCCCCCCCACGTGCTCAAGGGCGGGAACCATGGTTCTCCCGGCGGCAAGGGAGGCTACAAAGGCAGTTTCGGCGGAGGCGGTGGCATCGGCGGCGGGGGAAAAGGGGCTGGCGGACGTGGCGGCGGTCGAGGCGGCATGCTGGCTTCCCCATCGGATCCCCTGTCGCTGCTGTCCCAGATCAAGGCGCTCATGGGCCAGCTCAAGGAGGACTTACCCGAGCGTGCGGCGGTGGACAGCTCGGTCGAAGCCTCTGCCACAGCCATTCGTTCTCGTCAGTCAGAAGCTCGCCCCCTCCGTCAGCAGGCCAATGAGGCGCAGCAGGCCATGGAGAGCAACGAACGCATGGTGGTCTCTCTCGACAAGCAAATTTGTGACGCTCAGGCGCGTCTCAAGGGGCGCAACGAGAAGCGGGCGGAGGCTGCTGCACAGCAGGCGCAGCTCAAGGCACGCTGCCTCGAGCTGGCGGCGAAGGCTGCCGACCTCCCACCGCCTCCTCAATCGGCTGAGTTCCAAGGCCACGTGTCCGACTTCGACCCTGTGTTGGCGTCGGGCGACCTGGAGGCGATCCGCGAGGGCTTGGCCAAGCTCAGGCCAAGCTGCGAGTCTTTCGCCCAAGGGCCACAGTCTGCCAGCGGAGCTGGCGGTGCTGATGCTAATGTGGGTGGGGGGACGGGCGCAGGGGCTGGGGCGGAGACTGGCACGCTTGTGGGTGAAGCAATGCCTCAGGTCGATCCTGAGGACTCGGATGCGTTCGATAACTTTTGCGTGCCTGGAAGGAGGCGCAGTCAGGGGCTGTCTCGGGTGAATCGAGGGAGCGTGTCTCTTCGTTCATCGAGGCAGCAGCGCAGAAGGCCAAGACTGCTGCGTCTGCCAACGCTGCTCCTGATCGTTCTCCATGGTACCAGTCGTTTCCAGCACTTTCTTTCAGTCAAGTCGTTTGCCCCTCTGGAGGAGGAGGCGGCGGGGGGGCTTTCGCCCCTGCGCTCCCTTCCAAAGCTCTCGCCTTCCAAGGGCGGGCCTCCTGCAGGCCGAGTTTTCGGGATCAGTGACAGTTTAGTTGCTGCTCGGGTTGGCGTCGGGTCCAATTTTGAATTCTTCCATGTGCCCCACTCCCCGTCCATGGATCAGTTCTGTTAAAGGTTTGAAGCCTGTAACGCCACGTCGCGGGGGTCCTGCAAGGAATGGCTCCTGGGGACACAGGCCCATGCCGTGGCCATCCAAGAGCGCCACCTGGTGTCCAGCGGGTCGTGCAAAGTTGCGGAGGCCTGGTGCCTGCGCAGCGGTTGGAAGGGGATTTTCTCTCCTGCTCTTCCAGGCGAGGGCGAGGGAAGCTTTGGCGGTGTTGCTGTGCTCGGACGCGAGTTCCTCGGCTTGCACCCCTTGCCCAACTTCGACTCAGAAGTTGCCCCGTCCAGAGCGGTCGCGGGCATCATTCATCTTCCTGGGGATGGAGCTCTTCAGGTTCTTTTTGTTTCGGTGTACTTGCGCTGCTCCGAGGGCCTCGCCAATCGCAATTTGGGTATTTTGGGCGCTGTCGGCAGCCTCCAGGAAATCCACGCGTCTGAAATGTTGGTGGGGGAGATTTCAATATGAGCCTTGGTGAAATCCTGGACAGAGGTTTCCCTGGATGTTTATCGGGACAGATCATCTCTCCGCCATGCGACGGCACCTGCCCCACCACGGGCGGGATGACGTTGATCGGCTTTTCCGTGGCCTCGCAGGGCCTCGCCAAGGCTGTCGAGGATGCATCGGTCCAAAGAGGTTCGAACATCACGCCGCATTCGCCTGTCCAGCTCGAGCTTCATGAGCGCGCGGCTTCTCTGCAGGCTTTGGTGTTCGACAACCCCCCCCCATCCCCTCTGAGCGCCCCGTAGGGCCCCCACGGGCCCCCCCTTCCTGGAAACGCGCCCGCGGGGCGGGAGGTGACATCCTGAGCGAGCTGGTTCCTGGGGCTTCGACCGCGGGTTCCCAGGAAAAGTTGTCTCGGCTCTGCCATCTCTGGAGGAAGTTGGCTGAGTATGAGGTGGCCGAGGTTGCTCATTCTAAGTTATTTAGGCACGGAGCGCGCGGGCGCAAGCCAAAGCTTAAATGGGCCTCTGTGTTTCGGGATTCCGCTCAGAAGTGCAAACGCCCTGAGATCTTCAGGGTAAAATGGCTTTCGAGCACCTTCCGTCAGTGGGCAGGTACCAAGGTTGGTTCTCCTGGGGCCCAACAGCTCGCTCGTTTGATCGGTGACCCTCCTGGGGATCTTTGCAAATTTTTGGGCCCGCACTCTGAGCTGCTTCTCAGATGCCAACAGCAGGTTGGCTTTTCTCGTCCCCGCCTCTTGCCGGCTGCTACCGAAAATAATGTCTGGAACGGCGCGGCTATCATTGTCGGCGCCACGTTTAGGCAGGACTCGCCCTGCGCCGTCGGCTACGTCGACCCCGGCTGCACAGAGGTGGACGAGGCTGACGAGGCCCTCGATTTCGATTTGCTCACTGACTTGAGTCAGGCGCTGGAGGCGGAGCAGAACTGCGCCAGGAGTCAGGCTTCTAGATCCTGGAAGGAGTGGCCGTTAAAGAACATCGAAAAAGGGGGTCGCAACGCGCATCTGGCCAGAAAACCCGCGGCGGGCTGGAAGGCGCCCACCACCCTGTCGTCGGCTGGGATTGTGATTTCGGACCCCCTGGCCCTCCTCAGCAACAAAACGTCGCTTTTCTCCAAAATTTGGGAGGCCGAATCCAGGCCTGACTATAGGGAACATTTGACTGTGTTGGAGCCCCTTCCGCCGCTCGCAGTTGATTTCTTGAGAGAGGTCTCTAGGAAATACTCGACCCCTACGGCGTGCGCAATGGACGGGTTTCATTTGAGACACTACTCCTGGATGTCGGACCAGCGTTTACAAGTGGGTTCCATGATGATCAGCATAATGGAGTCCATATCGCGCCTCCCTCCCATTGCAGGTCCAGCTCACCCGGGTGATTTTACTCATGCAGCCCAACGGAGGATGGAGGCCTATTGGGTTATTCTGCTCCATATACCGCCTGTGGGGAAGTTGCCGTCGTATTTACGCCCAACAGTGGGAGGTCGCGTTCTCTCGGCTCTATTTTGCTGGCCAATCGTTCGCCTCCGCTGCGGACGTGGTCTGGAGGCAGATGCTGAAATCTGAGACCGCTAACTCCAAGGGGCTGTGTTCGGGGAGTTTGCTCTGTGACATGACGAAATTCTACGAAGGCATCTCTCTGGAACGGT